GAACGCGGCTAAGTTGTTCGCTGGTGAGTTGATTATCGGTCAGCTGTTCGGGATCGGCCCTAGGTTTCGTGCACAAATGAGACGGGCAGAGGAAGTACTTAGAGGGCTTAATATTAGGATCCTGAAGTTGTGTCAGATATCGGTTTCCAAAGAGTTCGCTGTACGCGGAAGACACGCTTGTTGACCCACCAGGCCCCAGGTTCAGAGGTTGACGAGGCTTCAGAATCTGCAATGAATTAATTGGCAAACCGCTCGGCGTTATTCTGTAACGAGCTTTGGTGAGTAGCAAACAAGTTCTTTAATGCAACGCTACAGGGTGGAAGGGGTAAAAAGGGGTTCAGTACGGAAGACAATTGAACAAATGTTGAGATATCTGAGTAGTAGCCCACTTATCTCTACCCAACCCGTTCAATGCAACGGGCAGCGTGGTCCTGACCGTCCAGCGTGAAGACCGATGCAGCACAAAATTCTATATAGTTTGTGTACTTGTTGGAGTGAGATATTATCTTATTCATACGTGAAAGATGTTGTGAGTAGGAGATCGATTCCTTAAAGTGATTACATTCGGGGATGCATTGGATGTATTTCACAAGAATAAATTATCGGCTCTTGGAGGTGGATCAACATTTAGTGGGCAATAACAGCCGTGATGGAGGAAACTGCTCAAAAAGCGAATGGATGAACACCTGTAACAGCTGACAACAAATCGGTAAGATTTACGCGAAGCAACCGCGATCTACCACCAATGAATTTAAATGGAACGTATGTATACATCGAGAAAATATTTTCTAAATTACATGGCCGGCAGAGTAAGTGTTTAATTCTTCAGCAAAACCCAAGGGTATCTTCGCGTGAACTCATATCACTATTAAGTGGACAAAGTTGATCTGTGAAAATAAAAAAAGCGACTGCTATTGAAGACAACCCTGCTAGCAAAAGGATTACTATTCGAATACCAACATGCTAAAAAAAAATAGTGGTTCAGATCGCTATGAATTTGCATAATAATGCGTCTTTTCTGGCTGGATGGCAAGAAATCTCCTGCTAAAATCCTTGAAAAAGACGTTTCCCTGATATCATCATACGTATGCTTCCTCTACCTAACCGTACGATTAACCAGGCTTTACCGCATACTTCTCTGCCTTTGCTGAAGCGCTTACCAAAGCCGTAAAGCACCTTAAGGTGCAAAAAAACCAAATAATTGATTGTAGGCCACTTACGAAAACTTCGTCAATTTTGATCTTTTTCATTTCCGTTTTCATTGCCTTGCTGCTGGCTTTCATAGCATCGACTGTGGTCTTGGTATCTTGCAACGATTTCACAGCGAAGTCTGTCTGGCTAATATTGAAGCTTTGGTTTTGTAACTGCTCGCTTTGGTGTAAATAAACTTTCTTCTGTCGCATGATTCGCAGGGCCTTTTGCTTCAATGCGGTTTTCCCCGGACCGTCTCTCATTTTGCTCATCTGCGTTGAAATCTGACGCAGTTCCGCGTCGAGTTTGGCGATTTTCTTTTCAACGGTTTCATTTCTCTCGTCGACCTGAACGATAATTTTCTACTGAATAAAAACTTACATTCGCTGCCACCTCTGTGAGGTTCGGGACAGGTTTCGCCTTGCTTGACCCAAAAAGTCTGTGCATTTCGACTAATTTCCACAG